TTATATATGTGAACATATTAAACATATATATAAACATATATTTTTACATATATATATAAAATAATAATAAATACATATAAATATTTTTTATTCAAATAGCTAATTCAACAGAAAAATACCACCATTAACCTAGGAATGATTTGCCACTCCAAAACCTGAGCATCCCAAGTTCTGCAGCGATCCAAGGGCTCTGCAAACAGACAAAGGCAGGAAAGCAGACGCTAAGGAAAAACTTCTCAATAGCCAAACCCCCAAATATTCAGTGGGGATTGAAACCAACTTCCAGCCCAGCAGCAGCTCTCCAAACCGCACACACTCGCACAGTGCAGAGCCCAAGATCTTAATTTACTGCCCCAAAATAGCTTTCCAGGACAGGTGGCTGGGCCGCTGTCAAACACCCACCCCTGCTCGCGTGGCCTTGGGGCAGTTATTTCAGGAAGGCGCCGGCGGCAGCTGCCTTGTTTGCAACGCAAAATAATATTATTCTTTTTGGGGGTCATAGTGAAAATAGAGGGCTTCTCCCAACACCAGGGAGTCCTTCCTGCTGGCAAATGCAGGCCAGAAAGCACAACCCTGGCACGCAGAGGACATCGGGGATGGGGATGAGGCTTTTTCACTGGGATTTGTGCCCATTTTTGGCTCACTCGTATGGGGGGAAGCGGACACAGACCCTGGCGCAGGCGAGACGTGGCTGTAACAGGAGCTGGCGGTTTCGCTCGCTCGGTGGCCGCTAACCACCCACTCCCTCTGCCGCTCTCCGTTTCGCAATAGATCTCTGATCTAGCCCAATTTCATTAGCTGCCATTTCGGTTTGTTAAGGGAAGGGGAAAAGCCACTCCGCTCACCCAGGAGATAACGGCCTGCGGCGACCATCTGGAGATGGCAAAAGGAGATGGCAGCCCCCTCCTGCAGCATCGCCATCCCATAGCTCCTCCGGGCTCCTCCATCCCATATAAAACCCTACATCCCCCAAACCAAAGACCTTCAAATTACAAAACCCTCTCTGCGTCACTCCCGGATGTTTGCAGCTGGTTTAAGACCCAGCATTGAGATGGGAACCACAACAAAATCTTCACGGCAGAGCCACAGAGACGCCTCTTTAATTAACAAAATAGAAACCAGCCCCACAAAACCCAGCTGAAATGAGATTAGCGCTGGGCAAAGAGGAGGCCAAATGAGATTGCAGGTACCAAACAAGGAGGGGGTGGCGTGGCAGCACGGGGCCAACCCCATTCCCTGCGGGAGCTGCACCAGGCACAGGCCTGACCCATTCATTCCACTCTGGAGATGTTATTTAATCAAAGGAGGACGCATGAGTGCGAGAGCAGACGCAGCACCTTGCATCTGAGCCAAAAATGCATGTAAAGACCCTAAAATTGTTGTAAGAAAATGACCTCCGCACCCAGCAGCACGCAGGATGCTTTGCAAGCCGGCACCGTGCTTGCAGTGGTGTTTCTGTCCCATTACAACGCGTCTTTCTGCAGGGGAAAAGAGGTTTTTGCAAGCTATGATGGTAGGAAGGAACCTGCAAGGTCAAACCACCCGTCCCCATCCTGTTTATTAAATATAGCTTTTTTTAATTATTATTTTCTTTTTTTAAACTGGCTGTTTAACACAAATCCTTCACTGAACCCACTGCAACCTGCCGCAGCTCCGCCGACTTCGCAGCAAAACAGCCCCAAGTCTGGGCTAACGGTTTAATTTTAGACTTATTTATGCCCATTATAAACAGACACAAAGATCCTGCCCTTTCCATGGGCCTGGAGAGCTGACCCAGCCACTGAAAGTTAAAAGTTTTAATTAAAAATGCATAAAAGTCATGATAAACCTCCACAACAAGGGTTTAGGCTGTGTTTTTGGGGACTGGGGTTATGCCTTGTGCCACCCAAGCCCAGCTAAAACCGATGGTGGACCAGGATTTTGGCAAGCTGCACCTGAGACCCAGCGTTTGCTCCACAGGGAAAGCCTTTTATTCCTTCAGCTTCATATTCTCATCCTTTATATGTTAAAAATATACATTTTCTCCTGCAGGACTGCCAGATAAAAGGGGTGATAAGAGCAAGCAATCATCCCTAGGATAATTTGGGGTGTAAACAGAGTAGAAGTGAGAGCAGAGCCACTTATGAAGGTACCACAAGTTCTTCACTTGCCTCTACATCCCATCCCAGAAGGATACTGGGCTGCCAAAGGTTTGGAAAGCAGAGGCTTGGAAAAGATTGGGGTGAAATTAGAGAGTCCTTCCCAGCCCGAGATCTGCAATGCGTCCACAGGAATTGGGCTAAATTCTCTTTGCCCCTGTGAAACGCTTTGTCTTCAAGCTCAGTTTGCAAGAAAAAGACTGAAAAGGTAAAAGACACACTCGACAACCATCATTTTTCCTAGGTATCACTTCTGCATGACCATCCTGATCTACTTCTTGCCGCTTCTGGTGATAGGATGTGCCTACACCGTGGTCGGCATCACCCTCTGGGCGAGCGAGATACCCGGAGACTCCTCCGACCGCTACCACGAGCAGGTCTCGGCTAAGAGGAAGGTAAGGAGCTTCAAGCACAGTCAGAGGCATCGTTCATGCCCAATCCCAACCAACCACAGCCAAAAATACTTAATTAATGGTGGAAACGGGTCAGGACTTGTTGCATGGTTGTTGCTAATGAGTGTCCCCCATGGATGTGCATGGTTTAACCAAGGTGATGACCGGTTGGAAAGATTACAGAGTGTGTTGGGTTGGAAGGGACCTTTAAAGCTGATCCAGTCCAACCCTGCAGTGAGCAGGGACATCTTGAACCAGACCAGGTTGCTCACAGCCCCATCAAGCCTGGCCTTGAATATCTCCAGGGATGGGGCCTGCACCACCTCTGGGCAACCTGTGCAGTGATCGACCACCTCATGGGGAAGAGCTTTTTCCTCATATCCAACCTAAATCTCCCCTTTTCCAGTTTAAAACCATCACCACTCATCCTATTGCTCCATGCCCCAGTGAACAGCTCTTCCCCAGATTTCTTACAGGCCCCTTTCAGGTCCTGGAAGGTCGCTATAAGATCCCCCTGGAGCCTTCTCTTCTCCAGGCTGAACAGCCCCAACTCTCTCAGCTGTCTCCAGAGCAGAGCTGCTCCAGCCCTTGGATCATCTTTGTGGCTTTCTCTGGAGTCACGCCAGCACTTCAATGTCCTTTTTGTGTTGGGGACTCCAAACTGGCCCCAGCACTGCAGGTGAGGTCTGACCAGAGCAGAGCAGAGGGGCAGGATCACCTCCCTCCATCTGCTGCCCCTTCTTGTGATGCAGCCCAGGATGGGGTTGGCTTTGGGCTGCAGATGCACATTGGTGGCTCATGTCCAGCTTCTCATCCACCAATACCCCACCAGCATCAGATCTCCAAGGCAAAAAGAGGTGGCCCCTTCTGGAAGGTGACATCCAACCTGTGGAGTGTACAAGGGATGATGTTGTTTCCCTGCCCTCTCTTCTCCTGGCAGGTAGTGAAGATGATGATCATCGTGGTATGCACCTTCGCGCTGTGCTGGCTGCCCTACCACATCTACTTCACCCTGCAGTATTTCAACCCCGAGTGGTACCTGCAGAAGTTCATCCAGCAGGTCTACCTGGCCATCATGTGGCTGGCCATGAGCTCCACCATGTACAACCCCATCATCTACTGCTGCCTCAATGACAGGTGGGCTTCCAGTGACTTTTGACATCACCTCGGTGCAACAAGGAGGGGAGGAGGAGGAGACATAGAGGGGTCAGATGGAGGAGAGTATGGATGGAGAGTTTCTGCAGGATGGTTCTGTCCCATACTCTCCCAGCAGATGCAGGGACAACACAACACTCACCTAAATAAGCCTTTCCTAAAAGCCCAGTGGGATTTGAGGGCAGGTATCAAAAGAGTCCCAACTCCTAACTGGGATTTATCAGTGGTTTTTTGCACCCTTCAGTGACAAGCAGCATTTTTGCTGTTGTTTAGCAGTGTCTAGCTCTGTCTTCCCACTCCTAACAAGGTCCTTTTCCCATCTCCACGCCCCTCACCTCTGCCTTTCCCCATCTCTTCCATCCTCCCAGGTTTCGCGTGGGGTTCAAACACGCATTTCGGTGGTGCCCGTTCGTCAGCGCCGGCGAGTACGAGGGCCTGGAAATGAAGTCAGCCAGGTACCTGCAGACGCAGAGCAGCATGTACAAGGTCAGCCGGATAGAGACCACCGTGTCCTCGGCGGTCGGCGCGGCCGAAGAGGAGCTGGAGGAGAGCAGCAAAGCCAAGCGCCTCTCCGTAGACATGACCTCCAACGGCTCCTCCCGCAGCGACTCCAAAACGGTCTCTGAAAGCTTCAGCTTCTACTCCAACACGCTCACCTAAGCAGCTCCCCAGCTCCGTCAGCCGCTCATGAGGGTGCAACCATCCCCTTTCCCTCACCGGGTGCCTGGTCCACCCAGCATCATCACCTCGGTTTGTGACGTGCCGGCTTTTTTCCGTGCTGTCTCTTGCTGTTGCCACGCTTGGGTGACCTCAAGAGCAAAAGCTTTGGGTTAGTTTCACGTGCTCCGCCATGGCTCTGGTTTGGCCGGCCTCCGCCTTGCTCGCTGCCTGTCCAACCCACCACGTACCAGGAAAGTGGACAGGACGCAGAGATGGGACATAGCTGGGGTTTTCTCCTAAATCATAAGTACAACATCTCCAGGCACTTCCCTGCTCTCTGCAAGGCCGCAGGGATCTCCCAGCGCATCCCAGCCCACAGAAAAATGAACCAGTCTCACACTTCCCTCCTTCCACCTCTAATTTCATTCTCCCCGTGACTCTGGGAGAGGGGTTTTCAATCCAGAAATACAGCAAAAAATGCTGTTTTCAACTCTGGGAACATGAGGAACCCCCAGCCACTCAGTGCTTCAACTCAGACCCAGGCATTTCATCTCCAGGACCCGTATCCCTCTGCACGAAGGTTTTCTGTGGCCACTCCACAACGCGGCTCATCAAAACAGGGCTCTCGAAAAGGATTTCTGACCCGAACCAGACTCTGGTTGCTGTTGCTCAACCATACGTGCCAAAAACAACCACTGTGATTTCCTAAAAGGCCCAAGGTGGTGCCCCTTGGATAGATTTTGGAAGCCTGCAGAGGGGCTGGAGAAGGGCTGACCGTACCGAAATGTTTTTCACAACTTGAAAAATGGCCAAAGCTGCCCAGAAACGGGCATGGTAGGATTCTGTCAGGAAAATCAAGTTTTGCCCAGCATGCTAGGGTTGAAGGGAGACAAAAATTTTGCAGACTTTTTTACTCAGAGAAAGGTTGAAATGATTCATTTCCACTTTTGGGATTTTGTTATAATCAGGGAAACTTTTCTCTTTCCACCCCCCTTGTCTTTTGCAGAGAACATTAGGTTTATGGACATGGATATATCTAATATTTTAGTCCTGTTATGATGGATAATTTTCACTGGGGCTGCTCATACCAAGGGCTGCTCCGGTCAGCAAATGTATGAACATACGATCAAAGGGGATTAAAAACAAGATGACAAAACGAGAAGTGGGGAAACTTGGTTTATTGGGAACAAACCCGCAAGTCTGGGGGTATTTTGGGAGCATTTTGCTGCTGGATCCTTGCTGCTGATCCAATCTGTCACTTTTGGTGTGGAAATCAGACTCGTAAAATGATTCACTGCAAGACAGAAATGCTGGAAAGATGCACACAGGGCAAGGAAATGGCTCATTCATTTTAAGCAGCCGAACGTCAGACCCTGCTGAGCACAGAGCGATTTCTGGAAGTACAGCATAAACGACTTTTGGAGCTTTTCAACTGTTCAGTCTGCAAACTGGAAGATCCACTCATTAATAAATCCCCAGCCATGATGGTTCTTGGAGATAAAAATACACGTATTTAAGCAATGACTCCAGCAGAAATCAAATGAATGGGGAAATAGATGGATCCGAGAGCAGCAAAACGGCTGCAAAACAGGATTGATAAGAACTATCATCAATTTTTACCCAAAATCCTGCCAAGTGCCGTCAGTGAGGAGCAGCTTTTCCAGCTGCTTCTACGTTCTTCCCGATTGCCGTGATTATGCGACGTCACAAACTGCTGCACACGCTGGAATGTGCTTTCTTCCTGCTTGAACTTCCATTTCTCCCCATTTTTGTCGCCTTAAGACATTTTCCCTCGCTGCTGCCTCCCGCGACCCTGTGGTGTGGAGAAGGGGGGACGGCACGGGCCTGCCTGGGGATTTGGTTTTGCAGAAGTGCACTGGCCCCGTGCAGCGGCGATCGAAGGGATGGGCAACGTCAAGGGCTTTAATGCAAGGGTTGGATTAGGAAACCTTTCCCCCAACTCCACAGGAGCTGTTCTGCCAATACACGAGAAGGTGCTACAAACCAGAGACAAATTCTGATTTACTCCCAGCTGCCAACCCAAATTCCAAACTTAAATAAAACCAAATAGCTCCAAATGGTCCAGAGAGCCAAATAAAGCAAGCACAGATCTGCTCCATACACCCCACGCACAAGAGTTTACGTTGAGTTGTGAGCCTACAGAAGTCAGCATTTAGGAAGAAAAAGATAAATATATATATATATATGTGTGTGTGTATAAGTATATATAAAACCATGCTGCCCTTTTGCCCTCCGTGTTTATGCCCCAAGGATGCTGTGATGATGAGATGTACAAAGAAACGACAACTGCCTTCTCACAAGCAACGCTCAGCTTGAAACGTGGGATAATCCCAAAGGCACGCGCAGACTCCAACCCAAGCTGACAGTTTACAGCCCAAAATGCTTCCTGTGCATCTTGTAGAAAACTACGGCTTGAGATAAAGTGGGAAAAACTCCCACCTGTTATAAACAGTGCCAAAACAACCTCAGCGGAGACGGCCTGGGATGCCCGAGCTGATGGGAACACGTCAAGGGATCATTCAACAGAGGAGACCAATGCAGAAAACCAAAATATTCTGTGTAAATGGGTACAAAACACCCAAACATGGGTTTCCCTTTCCCCCCTCCGAGTTATTTTATCGGTAGGAACAGGGACAAGGCGTTTTTCACATTTAGGATCTAGGCCAACCCCCAAGATGGGATGTTTGGGTCAGGTTTCACCAACCATGGGGTGCTCTGTGCATGCAAAAGCCACAGAGAAGTCTTCTTTTGGAGACTGAAAAGCCTAAAATAAAACATCCCTGCCCAGGCTTGGGGTTGAGACATCTCATATGGTGAGTCCAGCCTCTGCACTATTTCCAGCTCTCCTTTCAGACAGGTCAGCTATAACACAGGCTTTTTCGGGATTATTAAGCCTGTTTCCCTTATTTGCTTGCAGATCTCTGATTAGAAATTCAATTGCAAAACGAGACAAGTTTATTTGTCTCTTTCCTGGCTCTCTGAAATGTAAACTAATGGCATCTGCAGAGAATCACTCAGCAGGTCTGCACACATCCCTTTGCATCTCCTCCTTGGAGAGGAGAGGAGATAACACAGAGAACTCCCACCACCAGGATTTGGAGCTGCCCAAGCCCAACTACAACACGCTCTGAGCCAAAACCATCGCAGAAAGCAGCTCCAAAACCCAAATCTCAGCCTGAAGCCATCTCCTTACCCCCAGGAGTTCGATATAAGCTCAGCTTTGCTTCCTGGCACTCAGAAATTGCTCTTCCCACTTAGCTTCCAGCAGGAGCACGGAGCAGCAAACCCATCCATACCTCGAGGTCTGCTCAGTCGCGCCAGAATACGTTTCCACCCTGTTTCATGTGTAACCATTTCTCTCCCACCAGCTCAAAACAAAACAACAGCAAAACCCGAGCGAGAGCCTGCTTGCCAGAAAAATGAGGCAGCTTTGCAAACACGAAAGTCAAAGCAAAGCAGCCGGCACCAATCGCCATTTTTTGTAACACTTGTAACAGGATTGCTGGTAGACGTAGAAAAGGCAGCTCATCCACCATCTCTATTATTATTTTCATTTCTATTTTGCTGTCCCTTGAAGGATGTGGTCGCATTTTTGCCCAGCAAAGCACACCAACAGGTAGCAACTTGGGATGGGAGCAAAGTATTCACTATTTGCTGCACATTTCCACAGGGCTGATGTGGGTTTTTTCTCAGCTTGCTGTGTCCTAGCCAGAGATCACACAACCAAAGTGCCCAGCCCAAGAGCTCTTAACTTTTGCTTACCATTAAATTAACAATAATTTTAAACCCCCCCATCTCTCGAGCATCAGGTCTCTACAGAGCACACCATCCTGCCCCCAAAAACCTGTCTCCAGCTGAATAATTAATACAGCTGTTATAACGCAAAGTTTAAGATGCAAATAGCCCCTTTTCCTGGGGTATATCCACCCAAAACACCATCTCTGCCGGAAACTAAATCACATTTATCAGTTAAACGCAGCAGTCGCAGCACCTCAGAGAGAGGACAGTGAGTCCCAAGAGCAGCTGAGGATGGGAGATGACTCTCGGGTGACTCTGCCCTTAAACTTTCCATCCCAGACAAAAAGGCTCCTCATTTTGTGCAATATGATACAGTCAGGGCCAGAAGTAGCATGAGGGGATGAGGTTGACTGCGATTTTACATATGGGGTTTGGTATTTGGTATGTGGGGCAGCTAAAGGGAGCTTTGCGTGAAGTTCATTCCATAGTAGCATCCCTATAGAGAAACAATCCAAGCCTTCTCCCCAGAAATGGTCTCTGATTGTCAGGTTTGTCCAAATGGATTTTCATAAATAAATGTTTCTTTTGTGAGATCGTGTCGCAATGGGTTAATGAGGCTGCAGCGATGGGAGGCAGCAGTTTGGTGGGAGAGGGAGGAGGGGGAGTAAAACACAACAAAGCCAAAACCAGGTGAAAAGAGGGCTTGGGGGGGGATCTGTGGTGTAAAATTTCAAAACTACAGCAACAAAAAGCACAACCCTCCAAACGCAGCCATCTGCAAAGCCAGGGCCAGTCGCACGTCACCAATTCCCAACGCAGGGGAAAGGCTGGAATCGCTCCCCGAATGTGGGCAGGACTCACCAACTGCTCTGCTCTCTGCGCGGGGCTGCAGCAGACACAGTCCATGGTGACTCCAGGACCGTGCCCCAGCGCTGGCATTTCCACCTATTCAGCTGCCTACGACACAGAGCGATTCCCTTGACAGAGCAGCCAACGCACTTGGCTCCGCTCTCTGGTTTGGACTTCCCAAATCCCCCTGCTCTGCTGGAACAGCGCGATCCTTGGCTTATCCGAGGCCTCACCACCCTGATGGGAGAGAAACTGTGAACGTAAGGAGCAGCCAGCCATGCTTCACCTCCCACAGCAAAGCCCCCAACCCAGTCAGCCTGCAATCAGCTCCAGCCGGCTGTAATTTGCAGTTTTTAATTAGAGGAGCGTTGCCGAGGCGCAGCTGATTGGCA